ACACCACACTCACTCACCACTCCACACACACACGCCACTCCACACCACACTCACTCACCACTCCACACACACACGCCACTCCACACCACACTCACACACACTCCACAGTCACACACCTCAGATACATATGGCACACCACATACACACACCACACAGACCACGCACTCATATACCACACACACCACAAACATGCCACATCACACACACCCACAGGCCACACCACACTCACCCACATCACACGCACTCACCACTCCACCCACAGGTGCTACTCTCCACACACTCCTGAGCTGGCTACGTCGGAGGGCAAGGGCAGTAAACACCCAAGGCCCTGCTCTCGGGCTGCCTGCCCACCTTCTCCAGGGTGACGGTGTTCTTCCTGGCCTGGCTCACCAGCGTGGCCATCTCAGCCTTGAAGGCCTCCACGTCCCTGCACTCGCTGGCCCGGGCGTGATGCAGGATGAGCTCGGCCACTCTGTGGCCCTGGAAGATGCAGAAGAAAGGAGCCATCTTAAAACACCTTGAGTGGACAGAAAGCTAGGTGCTCTTGCCAGGGATTTCACATCTTAGTCACTTCCACCATGGTTTGTCTACCATGCTGCCTTTAATCACCTTCCTCTCTTAACTGTAGTCCTCCAGAATACCTGGACACCGACCAAAATCTCTGCTGGTCAGTGGGGCCTACCTGCGTCAGGGCAGGAACCCTTGCAGCCAGGGCGAGGGCTGCGCACCTGTGCTTCTCGCTCAGGCCACACAGCCTCCTGTGTGCTCCCAGCGGCACTGCCTACCCTGAGCCCCAGCCCCAGACTTACCTGCCAGCCCAGGCTCACCTGGGGCCAGGCTCTCCCTGGACCTGCCTGCTGGGTTCAGCTGGGGCCAGGCTCTCCCTGGACCTGCCTGCTGGGCTCACCTGGGGCCAGGCTCTCCCTGGACCTGCCTGCTGGGCTCACCTGGGGCCAGGCTCTCCCTGGACCTGCCTGCTGGGCTCACCTGGGGCCAGGCTCTCCCTGGACCTGCCTGCTGGGCTCACCTGGGGCAAGGCTCTCCCTGGACCTGCCTGCTGGGCTCACCTGGGGCCAGGCTCTCTGGGGGCTCTCTCACCCTGAGCGGAGCCTGCTCACAGCTGAGCCACCTCCCTGCTCCCCATGGTCACTTCTAGTGCCCTCAGCTCCTGCTGCACCGCCCCAGGCCAAGCTCTCTCTCCGTCACCCAAACCTACACAGGGGACCCGAGCCCCACCGGCCACAGACTTCAGCCTTTCCCCTCGGCCCAGGGGCACGTTCAGACTGGCTTTGGGTTCCCTCTGTTGGGTAGACCTCGGAAGCCACCTAAGCAGGACTCTCTTGAATTCTGTCCCTTCTGCCAGCAATCTTTCCCAGGGCCTTTCTGTGCTGGAGAGTTCTCCACCCACAGCCCAAGGAGTGGTGCCTCCCACTCACTGGCCAGAGACACGCAGTGACTCACAGGGGCTTTCTGAAGCCCTTTCTCTCAATGATTCTCAGCACTGGAGCCCCTCCAAGCCACAGAAGCCTTAAAACTGTGCTCAGCCCCACCCCCAGAGACACCAGCACGCCTCCTGCTCTTCCCCCTCCAGCCCGCCATCTTGCATCCAATAGCACAGAGCGAGGGCAGCCACTGTTCAGTGAGGAAACTACCCTTCGCAGTGCCCCCGGGCGTGTGTGCTGAAGAAGGAAGAGAACCCACCAACCCGCACCGGCCTCGGAAAAACTGGAGGTGCTCTTTCTTCCATAAGCAGCTCAGACCTGGCCCCCGGCCCTGCCCCAGCACCCACTGACCAGAGGCGCCTGACGGGCAGCCCCATTCCCTCTCCCTCCTCTCTCTCCCTCTGCTGTGCTCCACTCCAGCCTGTGCAACCGAAGCAGCTTTACAAATATAGGCGTTTACAAGAGCAGGAAGACCAAGGAAGCCACAGCAAAGACAGGCGCTCCCCAGAAGCCCCCGAGTCTCACCTGCCCCATCAGCACAGCCAGGAAGACAGCCCGGAAGTTGCTCAGGTCTGCAGCCTGCAGCTCAGCTACAATGCCCGCGTCCAACAGCACCAGCCGCAGGGGCCGGGGGGCAGGGGGTGCAGCCCCTGCCCACATGGTGCAGACATCCCCCTGCTGGGCCCAAGGCCCCTGGCCCCTGGCCAGACCGTCAGCGCCTTGCACCAGAATGTTCCCAGGGTGGAGATCCGCGTGGACAAAGTTGTCCACAAATATCTGGAAGAGACTAGCACTGCTTATCAACCCTCCCACCCCACCCCCGCCAAGCCACAGGCAGAGAAAGCAGAGACCAAACTGCATTCCAAAGGCTTGTTTTTATCTTGATCCCTGGGTAGTGCAAACGGTTAAGAGATTGGATCAGCTTCTAACCAAAAGCCTGGCTGCGTGAACCCACCCGAAGGCATCCTGGAAGACAGCCAAGACTTCCGAGAAATCACAGCCTTAGAAACCCTACGGAGCACAGTTATAGTCTGCACACATAGGGCAGCTGTAATTTCTACTTTATGATTTGAGCAATTGGTATGCTACTTACAATAATTAGTCATGGTACTAAAAACTCACGGAACTACATTCCTTTAAAAATACTTCATAAATCAGGCTTTCCTCCACTGCTCAATTTGCCAGCATCGGTGAGGTCTGACAGTGAGACATCACCCCGCATCTGTGCAGCGAGAGCACAGCCCGGCGTGCACATGACTGGCACACAGCACGGGCTTTAACAGACGAAGCAGGAAAGCAAGCCCAGGGCCCCTTTGCAGAGTAGAAGCTGCCTCCCATGGAGACACCAGCAGCGACGCCCCCGCCCCGCAAAGGACAGGAAGGGAGGTCCTGGGGTAGCACAGAGCTGCTGCTGGGGGGCCCTCAGGAGGCCCTTCCAGGCCGATGCATGCTCTGAGCACCAGTCCCCCTGGATCCAGGGTTACTTAAATCCCAGTTCCTGAATGAACTCCCCTGGGCTGGGACGGGCCCCACATGCCCCTCTGCAGCCTGTACCTACCCCTCTATACCCCTGTCCCCACTTATCCAGTGCCCGTTATCCCTGGGCAGTAGTTCCAGGAGCCACAGAACATGGCTGTTCTGCTCACCCCGTAAATCCGGCCAGTAGCTCAGTGCCTGGCAGAGTCAACGCCCAGTAACTGCTTGCTGGGTGAGTGAGCACAGTATGCCGTCTCGGGGGGTCTGTCTACACTCAGGGCCCCCAGGTGGGGACTGTCTACACTGTGGGACCCCGCACAGTGTCTTGTCTACACTCAGGACCCCCAGGTGGGGACCGTCTACACCATGGGACCCCTGCCAAGGCCCGTCTATACCACAGGTCCCCAGCCAGGGCCCATCTATACCGCGGGCCCCCAGGTGGGGACCGTCTACACCATGGGACCCCTGCCAAGGCCCGTCTATACCACAGGCCCCTGGATGGGCTCTGTCTCCCTCACCACTCTCTGCAGCACTCTACATGGACGCAGTGTGCACGCCACTGAGAAGGTGTTCAATAGAAAGTTGTAGCAGGAATGAACATTGTCGGCGGGCACGGCTAGTTCTAGAGCTGGCCCTCTCGGCTCAACGGCTGTTGGCCTGGCCACCCTCCTGCCCACGAGAGCCCAGCAGAGCCTGGCTACCCCCGCCCTGGGTCCCGGCGCCCCCTCAGCCACAAGCCTACCATCTTCAGGAGCATGCGGATCCCCAGCCGCGCTATCTGCCTCTTCAGCTCCTCGGGAACCCCCACCTGCTGGTAGCGGGACACGGGCACGCTCTCCTGAGGAAAGAGGAGAGCACAGCTTCACTGGACAGCCGTCACCGCCCTGCCCCCGCCCCAGGGGACACACAGCATTGCTGTCCCATTGAGGGGAGGTGGTGAGTACTGGTGAAGTAACCGAAAGAGGTTCACCTTTCTGAGGGCCCCTGTGAACCTGTCACCCACAAGTGTATCTCAGCGCATGTTCCTTCCACAACCCTTCTCAATGGAAGGTTTGCTAGTGAGGAGACCGGTACTCTGCTGCTGACACAGAGGGGTTGTGGAGGCCTGTGAAAGGCAGACGCAGGCACCTGGGAGAGCTGGTTCCTGGGTCAGAAGCAACCAACGGGCAGGAGTGAGCCTGTGACCTTGAGCAGGGGGCGGGGGAAGAGAGAAGGGGCCTAATGAGTGAGCATTTCATATAGGTTACCGCTTAAAAACCAGGTGTTGCTGGGTCGACCCCAACTCATGGCGACCCCATGTGTGTCAGGATAGAACTGCGCTCCATAGGTTTCCAATGGCCGATTTTTCAGAAGTAGATCTCCAGGCCTTTCTTCCAAGGTGCTTCTGGGTGGACTCCAACCTCCAACCTTTCTGTAAGCAGCGGAGCACATTACCCATGTGTACCACCCAGGGACTCCTTGTTGGAAGTTCAGACACGCATGGGGTCACCATGAGTGACAACGGCAACTGGTTTTATATAGGTTAGCTTGTTGAATTTTCAAAGCAACCTATGGAGATAGATATTGTTATCCCCAATTAACAAAACAACTGAAGCCCAGAGAGCTCAGGTAAGCCAAGGTACCAGATCTGCCCTGCCGTCCTTCAGGAGGCTGACTGGGAGGGAGCTGCTGAGCCAGGTGATGCCGCTGCCACAGGTGCTGCGCTTTCTCTAGGTAAGCACTGTGCCCAGTGTGTTCTGCATGTAATACTTGATTTAATCCGTGACAACCTGGCAGCAGGAGCTGCTGTCCCTGTTCCATGGTGAGGACACTGAGGTCACCGGCTGGTGGCATGGCAGAGATTGTCAACCCAGGAGATCTGAGGTCACTTCCATCACTCTCAGCCCCTGGCCCGCCACACCACCTCCGCCATCGAGCCCGTCTTTGACACGAGTGAGAGGCCACAGGCAGAGCTGCTGGACTCTTACCTCGTACGTCTCCACCAAGACATCCCTGGAGACAAAGGGGCGTAGTGGTGTCGGGAACCTGACGGCACTCACATCCCGGAAGTTGCGCTGGAAGTGTTCCAGGTTCCGAGCTTCATAACGCAGGTCGATCTATGGTGGATGGTGAGAGAGGGTGAGGGCCAGTCAGGGCAGAGGGACGGCACCACCTGGAACCCGAGGCATTGGCAGACCCACCCTGCCCTTGTCAGTCTCCAAGGAGCTCCGTGCCAACTCCTCCAGCCACAGCCAGCAGAGACCTCAGAGGTTTGGGGTGTTCGGCTTCTCCCCTGTTCCTCCTCTGCCCGGCACCCCAGCCCACTGCCCCTTCAGGCTGCCCTCTACCCTCCACCCCGCCATCCTACCAAGGCCACCAGCGTAGCCGCTCCTGTCCCAGGCAGTCACCCTCCGTAGCGCACGGATCTGCTGTTCCCAAACTCTGCGAGAGCCTTGCTGGGCCAGAGTCGGAAGACCAGCTCCTGCCTGGTCCCAGCTCACCTCTCAAGCATCGTCCCGCTGAGCTACTCTTGAACTCTCGTCTCTGGCATTTGCCTCTTACTCTCCCACTGTCCGCCAGCCTCTAGCTACCCCTCTTGCTCCGTCCTCCCGGCTGTTTGGCCTCAGGGTCCCACAGGTGCTGACCCTCACTCCCAGCCTCTGGCCTCCAGCATTCCCTCTCCCCACCCCCCACACAGGCCTCCTGGTGCCGACTCCTGACCTCCAGTCCAGACCCGACACTGGACATGTCACCATGGATGCCCACAATTCCCTGAAACTCCATCCGCATGGGATTCACTCTCCTCCCAATCCACTCAGTCACCTGGCATCGCCGTAGACAACTCCTCTCTCCATCCAGGGGGTGACCCAGTGCTGAGACTCTGCCTGTAACCCCTCGCATACTAGTCCCCCGAGTCCCAGCAGGTATCTGGCCTCCTGTCTCCCCTCCCCTCCCATAAATCCCTTGGCCAGTATCCCCCCACTACCTGCAGGACAAAGTCCAAACTCGGCAGCATGGTCTCCAAGGTAGATGGGGATCTGGCCTCACTTACCTCTCATGCCGGCTCTGGTACCCCAACTCCAGCCTCACCAGACTCCACATAGTTGCTGAGCATGTCTGCACCTCCCCATCCCACAAGCACCCCAGACTGTCCACTTCCTCACCCCCAGGAGTACCCTAGACTGTGTGTGCCTCCCCACCCCCATGAGCACCCCAGACTGTCTGCCTCCCC